AATAATAATAAATGCTCTTTCTCGCAGATACTTGGCAACAGGGTTATAGCTATGCTCAGTCTGGATTTAATAAGGTTTATTCTTGGCTCATCGACAATGCCATAATGACAAAACCAAATATATCCCTTTCTCTACAAAGAGTGTGCAGTTGGCAACACATAATAAGCATTCCATTGTAGCCCACTCTTGTGTATCTTTACAAGCCTGTTCCTGCAGTCAAATTAATTCATAATATAGAATATTTGAATATCATAATTGACAATACTTTAAGATTTCACCACCATTTACCAAAAATTACTCAAATAAAACTAATTTCGGTAATAATTTATAAAGATAAGAATATTTAAAATAAATATTCTTATGCTGCAAAATACCTATAAATTATACTACATACATTCCATGCTATGTCATCTTTTAGCTGCGGCTTTTTATCAGCCAAACAACATCCTGAATGTTTAAAAAAAATTGACTAAGTATTCAAAAGTACTTAAATTATGTTCATTTTTATAAATATAGGTATTTTGTCTTTGACTTAGGCCATATAAATACATTAATATTATCGATCACTTTTAATAAGGTTTTTCAAAATATCAAAAAAACTTATAACATACTCCCAATAATACTTTTCAATCGCAAATATTTTAATAATTTTCCGGCATTACAATAGTTAGTTTTACGCTTTCTTTCATTCCTCATACTAAATCTTTCTTTTATTCTTTCTCTTTTCTCTATCATTCGACATCCTTTTTATTTATTACTTATTTTTTTTATTTATTTAGTGCGTTGTAACTTATCCTACCTTATTTACAACCTTGTGTTATTTATTTGTCAAATCCTGTTTTTACGTAGATATATATTTCGAAAAATACTCTATTTGTTTATTTTGTTATATTGTCTTATGTCTAGTTTTGTAGTTTTAGCAGGCGTCTTAGAGGGGGGGAGTGTAAACGCAAAATCAAGTTTCTGCACCAGTTGGAAAAGGGCCCAGGCCTGATGCCGCTCCTGACCTTTATTGCATGTGAAAATTTGACAGGCGATATTCTTGTATATACAAACGTCTGTCTTTATTATCATAATCCTAACTACATGTGCCTGTAGAGTTTGCAATAGCAATATTATAAAATACAGTTTGTATTTGTTATTATCAATAAGTAAATTATATAAAGTAAAACCGGCGTACTAGTTAGTTTGATACCCAGTCAAGTGAATGTCAAACTTTGCTATTTTGTCTGGATATTGTGTTAAATTGGTTGTTTCAAATTTCTATAAAACTAACGTTTACTAATAATACCTACAACAGTAAATAAATATACCTCGTGTGTTCATAAGTTTTCAGACGAAATAAAAGTTGCTTAACTTTTTTAATAATTAACTGACATTTCTAAAATTTTCAGTAACCATTAAATAGATAATAATCAACAATAAAATATATGTTTCATTCAAATTACCGCCCTAGTTTTTATTTAATACCGGCCCTTAGACGATTTGGCCAGTCATCTATGGCGGCACGAATGTTTTCTAGCGGAATTTGCTTTGTTTCTCGAACAAGGGTTCGCTTCAGGGACTCCAAGTTTGAGTGGGACTTTCGGCAGACCCTGAGCTCTTATTCAGTCTATAAAGAATAATTCAGTGGGTTGAGGTCGGGGCTGGAGGAGGGCCACTCGTCCGCCGCGATGAAGGCCGGCCGGTACATTCTCCCTCAACCAAGTTTGGGTGCTTTTTGCCTTATGGGATGGCGCCGAGTCTTGCTGAAAAACCCAATCCTTATTGTGAAATAACGTATCAGACAGGAGTTTTACCACGGGCTCTACAATGTCACTCTGATAATTCTTGGCTTTCACCTAGACACCTTATTAGCAGAAATGGAGCGGAGTGACACATTCCGTACAGAAGCGATGTTCCGTGGGACATCCCTGCTGTTTTTAGCGTACACTCTATTGTTTTTTGGTTGAACTTTTCTTCGACAGCAAAAATCTGCATCGGTTTTTCTCCCGCCTTAAATAGCAATAAAGAAGTCCTTTTAAAGAAATCCCTTAGAAACTTGGATATTTTAATTGATAAAATTCTCACACGGGGGCCTCAAGTACAAGAAATGAGCCGTAAAATATTTGCTGCAGCTGGAACTTTAAAAATATTACGAAACTTTCTACCAATAGTCACTAATATTAACTTTTAAGCTCCTTCCAGAAAAGGAAGGAGAAGAGATTGGGCCAGCGCAGTTTTAGTGACTATTAAATACTCATAGTCACTAAAATTGCGCTGCGATTATGCTATTGTCAGCTATCTTGACCTCACTAAAGAGCAATTAAATAAACTGATGTACAATAATCTTATACAGAAATTCTTAAGCCGCTCAGCTTAAGGATTTCTGTTTCAGATTCAATTTGATTACGCAAGTATGATCATGTTTCCCATTTCCGTACTAAGCTCAAGTAGCTACAAATTCGTCTTCGCCGAAATGGACATATTGTTTCTCTACTCTACAGTATTCTGTTCAATCCATTTTCTTAAGGAACGCTTCATGTTCCTTCGCGATACGTACGCATGAGTTTTAAGGTCGTTGAAGAATCTGAGATTGTAACCAGTGACCAATAACAATGCATTCAAGTAATTTTCTGGATAAGTCTTTAACAGTACAAGCTGCTCGCCTTTGGAATGCATTGCCGGAGGATATTAGGCGTGCACAAATCATTAACAGTTTTAAAATATATGTTAAGGAGCACTATCTGTCACTAAATTCATTGCAGCAATCATAATCGTAAGTTTGCTTTCTTAAGTGTATATGTAAATGTAAATGTATTTATATATTTTTGTGTCTATATGTGACTATGTATGCTTTTGTATTTTTAGACAAGTACCTGCTTTGTACCTGCATGATAGGGACTTCTGAGTGCACCATTGACTACCCAATTTTTCAACTGTATCCTGTATATTATGGCTGCCTGGAAGAAATTTCATTTTAGCAATAGGGCCGCCAATTGTACTGTCTGTTACATTATTATGTAGGGTAAGGTGGGGCACAGTGTGACAAAAAAGATAAATCCTACCATTAATCTGAAAACATTTAGGTATTAAAGGAACTTTCTATTAGTCAACAGTTTTTAAACTATCATTTGACAACGAAAAACAACACCAAAAATAACTAGAAGATTTTTGAAATTGCACATTTTTGAGATCTGTCGATTGTCACAGTCTGCCCCGGATCCGGGGTACAATGTGACATACTATGGGGTACTTTGTGACATTACTTATTCTAGTAAAATTTGTTTATTATGATAGGACTTATTGGACATTATACTTCTTTAAAATATTTTAAGGAGAAATATAAAATTCAGCTTGTTGTTTTGTAGCTTTTTTGTACTTTTCGAGCTCAGGTAAAACAATTTCTATGTCTTCTATTCTAACTACCGACAAATCTAGCTTAAGGAGGAAATAAAAACTGTTATCAACCTTATTGTAATGTAAGTAACCTTTTATGTAATGTAAGTAACCTTTTATGTAATGTAATTAGCTTGTGATATTGTCACATAGTGCCCCGTCACATACTCAAAAAAAACAATCATAGAAAATAATTTGTAGGTTACGATACCGGCAAATTATCTACACGTATTTATCTACAAATAACATAGTTTAAAAAAAAAACATTTACTTACATAAGTACATCAATCAACACCTTAGAACGAAAACAATACTGGTAGTTTATAAGGAAAAAACAGGCCAAAAACACTTTTTTTGTAAAATTTCTGCAACGTGGAAATAAGAATCCAATTAACAAGTGTTCCAAGGTGTCATCTGATGCGCTTGTCTGAAATGTGTCCAAGCGATAACGATATGGTAAAAAGAGACGGAGATATTGAGAGTGTCACACTGTGCCCCACCTTACCCTACTGTCCATTTACCTATGGTGTGTACAATAAAATGTCTTTCATTAATTCATTAACGGCTTTGTCACGATGTTTCGACTATTTCGTAGTTTCCTCAAAAAACTTTAAAAAGTATACTGTAAAAAATATCTGTAAATCATTTGTAAGCATCATACCTACATAGTTCATTTTTTTCTCATTATCTTTTTTATATTTTTTTATTATCTTTTCGACACACTTTTAATTATAATTTTCCTTCACCTAATAAACATTGTTTACTTTTACTTATTATAAATGCACATACACGATGGTACAACAGTCATATAACAAGTAGATAGGGGTAGGTGGAATATAGTTTACTTAGACTAGATTTTCTATTGGCTTTGACTAAGAGGTCAAATTCCCTATTCAAAGCGTTCCCAATAGGACATTATTAAATTTTAAGCTCCTTCCATTTATTACGCAACATTTTAGGGGTGGTGGAGAAGGATCATCCATGTCTCATTTTTGTCTTACAATCGGGTAGGGACTTAATATTTATTAAGATCACAATAACGCGCAAGTTAATATTAGAACAATGTAAAGTTAAAAAATAAAAAAAACTTAATAACCTAATAACTCAATCGACTCTTACTTTTTCTTACACAGAAGGTGTCAAAAACAGACAAAAATCGTGTTACGTAATAATTTAATTTTAGGCAAAAATTCATAAAGCCAAAAATGAGAACAAAACAATTGTTAATAAAAATTCGAAAAAAAATCAGTTAATCTACTGCTATGTAATTTCTGTTTTTAGGACCCGATTTATGTGAACGAGAAGCGAGTGTTACACAAATATACTTTGATAAAAACACAATTTACTATAAAATAACTTTATTAAAACCAAAGAAGGTAATTGCATCCGTGAGCGACGCAATCTACTATAGATTTCTATAATATGTATATTCAATTACAACAGTTAGGTACTACTATTAAAATCATCTATACAATATTTTTACCCTTTACATTTAGGATCTCGCACATCTATATGCACTATTAATTTGAGTTATTAAAAAATTAAATTTGCATACACTTTTTCACAAAAAATACACATCATAACTCTTGAAAAGGTTCCTACGCGCGTATTTTTTTATTTTTACAATATTTTTGGCGCTCCAAACCCTTAACTACAGAGCAAATACGTTCATATTGAAATGGTAATATTCTGAAATAAACGTGATCGGATGTATGAAGTAAGATAAATTATATTAAAACTTTTAAAACGGAGAATTGACTTCTAACAATAATTACAATGTTAACAAACATACCGTGAAACTACTACTACCAATAGTTCTACAAATTACACGAGTTAATTAAAAATCAATTACATAATAACTTGCTTAAAATCAATGTACTTAAATTTGTAATACAAACAGTAATAACCATAACATAATGTATTAAAAATGATGCGTATTTCTATACTGCTCCATTATTTTTCAATTAACAATATAATAAATGATTCTAAAGTAACAATTAAAAAAACAAGATGATATAGATAATACTTCATGTGACTTATTCAGACTTGTTCTTAACGGTGTATAAAATTTGATTTGTTTGGTGAATCAAGTATAGAGCACTCACAAATACTGCATTAGCCCTGAAAAAAACAAAAACACACATATTAAAAGCTAAATAAAATAAGATAGAAAGAAATTCGGTTCATAAAAGGATGACGAAAAAACTGATAATATGAGTGACAAAGTTATAAAAACTAATGAAATAACTAATGAAATAGGAAAAAAATTGACGAGTATCACGGATAAACAAATAAAAAAAAATCGACATCAATAAAAAAACTTACTGTCCTTCCTTGAAATATTCTTTTAAGGTGTTAGAAAATCGCTTTGAATATTTAACAAATTCTCTTTTCCTCTGTTCTAACACCTGCTTGCCAGGTCCTGGAGTGTATGTAGATACTTCATTTACAGCATCCAGAAGCTTTTTTATTGCGGACGCAATCTCCCTAAAATTGTACAATTTAGTTCTTTACGATTAGGGCAATCACAAAACAATGAGGAAGTATTAAAAAAAAAACATTAGTTGCAAAATTCGAAATTAAGATATTAATACAAATACGAAAAAGTAAAAATAGAATATGAGTTGCTTATTGATTGTTATTTATATATTGAAAAATTATTTACTTTTAAACATGAAAGAAAACCCGAAGGGTTGTCATGGAGAAATTAAGAACGTATCGTAGCGACATCTAGTTTGATTTCGGGAACTAATGCTTTTTTAAATACTTCCTCATTAGACGCATCATATATGAATATTACTGCAATTCAAAACCGCGTAAACTTGAGTACATACAATACAATTTAAAAATAACTAAAACATTAACCAAATTAATTTAGAACTTTTTTTCTGGTAATATATCCTGGAAACAATTAACTACATATATTAATGTTAATGGTAGATTAGAATTGTTAATATTAAAGCTATCTAGATCAACATTCCTCAACCTATCATATGCAGACCCTGGTTCGCAGAATCCTTAACACTGTAAAGGCAAGCCAGGTGAAACACCCCATTCATTAAAATATTTTTAACTGACCTATATTTTAAAAAATAATCAGGGTAGATCAATCAGTAAGAGAACCAAAATAATTATTAAGTGAAACTAATATATAGTTTGATACATATTTAAAACTCACTTAATTGTTTCCAGAAATGTTTTTCTGTCAGTAATTTCATCAGGGATACGACTCAAAATCTTCTTCAGCGCAGTGGATTTCTTATTTAATTCTTGGAATGCTTCTTCAGTTCTATTGAGACGAAGGTCGGCACCTAATATACCAACATTCCATATCTATTATTACATCATTAAAATATTTCTTAAAAATATAATAAAAACATTTTAAATTTATTATACTGCCATTTTAGTACATATCCATGCTAGAAAGCAAAATCGGTGTAACCCACAAAACCAAAGTAGATTTGGTTAGAGCTGAACAACATTTTGTTTTTACAAATATGGTAACCATTATTCAATATCGGGATAAGTTTTAATTTTATACAACGGCAATGTTTAACCATGTTAAAATAAAACACGCGGAAGAGTTTAAAGATTTGGAAAATTATTTGGAAATATCTCAAAATCGTGAGCCAGTAGCATCAACTTCGTCGTCGCAATCGAATGCAATGAATATACAGCAAATCCTTATCGAATCATTTAGTACAAAATGGGACATAACTTATTCGCGCGATAGATAACCAATCGATATCTATGTTGGAAAATAATGGGTTCCAAAGATTAAAGAATACCTTAAAATCCAAATACCAAATTCCTAGTAGAAAGTAGTAATAAATACTTTTTGATTAACACTGTTATTTTAATTATATCTACCGAAATATATTGCTTTTCTTAAAAAAAGTATACTCAGCATTCATATCGAGTTACTCGGCCGAGTACGAGTATCAAAAATCCCGCCGAATACCGAGTATCAACCGAGCACTCGGCCCATCTCCAATTTCAAATAAAGAGTTACTCTCAAAACCAATTATGGATTAGCAGGCACTATGTGATTGCTTTCCGACATTGATAATTCATTGCAAAAATATATCAAAAACAAATTTACATCTGAAGTATATACTATAATACTTCTACATCATATTGTGTTATTTATTTGAGATATTGTAAGACAGTTACATTCTGCCTCTGTCAGTGTTCCTTGAAGCCGGAGCAAGCTCTCATTCATATTAACAGGAATATCTGCTCTTCGCATAATGCCTGCCACGAGATCATAGTTTAAGCCTGGCACGGCTGCCTCTGCTTTTGTCAATGCAGCTCTTAATGTCTGAGAGGCCCCTAAATCATATTTCTCCAACTGGAAAATAAGAAATTATTACCTTAAAATATTGAATTGTATAAACTGTGCTAGTTGTAAGAAAGTGTGCTAGTTAGCTAGTATTCATAGTACACATGTGAAATAATGTTTAGGACTTAATACGAAATATAGATGACTCTTTATCAAAAAATAGTACAATTAAGTAAACTTTTACTTATATGTTGCTTGATAAGTCAGTATGATAACCATGAGTGGGTACTTAGTTTGACATTTCTAAGGATTGACGGTTTACAATTTGAATTTTCGAGTGGATAGGAAACTTAATTGTGTGATCTTCACACATTTACAGTACATTAAATCAATAATCTTAAATAAAATACTTATAAATCTTAGACAATTAAAGTATAAAGTGGTAAGAATCAGGGTCAATTCTGTTGGAAACAAAATGGATCACACTTTACCTAGTAATTGTTTGTGTAAATTCTCGAAGGGAAGATTTTATCAGAATTCTATTGTTTTGTTTCAATAAAATCAAAAACTGTAACTATTTCATTTAAATTATACTTAGGATATAATTGTAAATTAAATAAATTTTAATATGATTCTTAAAAACTACAAAGGCAAATAATAACATCAATAAACTTAATTTAAATTCAGGCAGTTACAAGGCATAGTCATCTAATATAGCTTTTAGTCATTTCAGTAACAACTTTATATTATAGTATTTCTCCCGCTAATCATGCGCTTTGCCACAAATATCATTATAAGCCTGTACCTCAGATGAGCTTCCTTGGAAGACCAGGGTTTGCATATGATAGTAACTACTTACAGATGCAGTATAACTTTATTTTACCCAATTCAGGTAGAACAGCAGTGCACATAAACACTCTCATACGTTTATGAGTTACTTCAAGGCAAATTCAAGGGTCGCGCTGTACATAAAATGCCAAACAAATTTAATGCACAAGCCCCTAAAGCGTGGCAATCCAAAAATTCTATATAAGAATTTTAACATGCTTTTATGGTAATAACAATTTTAAAAAATACTGATTTACGTAATTTTATTTTACTAACTAAATAAGAACCGAAATGCACATCGATCGAATCTTAATTAAATTGTACGTAATTTGGGAAATAACAATGAAATTGGTACTTGAAACATACAAAACCCTTTTTAATAAAGGCCTTACCTGCGTTAGAACAGGGCGTATGAGAACGGGCAAAACTAAAGAAGTAACAGGCAGTTCATCACCCATTGTCATTGTGGTAAAAGTAATTGAAATTCTGTCGTTAGCCAAAAAAAGTGTAAGCAGGCCTGCAAATAGCACTAACTTGAAACCAGAAGGTGCTGTGCTAGTATTAAGTTCGATTGATAATAGTTTTAATGTTTTGGATTTCTTTCACATTTCTGATTGACCCTTCCTTTTAATTTAATTTTTATATTCACAGTGTTAAAATAAAATCAGAGTTGACATATGAATTCTGGATCTGACATGACAACAGTTTTTTTTTTTATAGTAGAAACAAAGAGCAAATTTTGAGTTTCTACACTTGCTCTTATGTAACCAATAGCTATTTTATAAAAAGGCCTCTTGAGATTTGGAGAAATCAATTACTCATATAATAAGTTACTTTTTGGACTTCATGTCAATATTTAAGCTTCGATATATTGATATTTTTCACTATCGTTATCGCTGTGGTTTCGAAGTCTTATACATATCGATATTTTTGGTCGTCAATATATATCGATAAATAACGGTTTTCCGATATATCATTGTAAGAAAAGGAACTTATTGCCTTTAAATAGGTATTCTCTGAACTCCAAATAAAATAATAATGTATAAGATAAATAGACTTATGTATTTTCTTGATAAATATTTAAACAGAAGTAACAAACTGACAATGACAAAGAATATAAAGAGAAAAACAAAGTAGCCTATCAAAAGATATATGAAAGAAGGTTTATGTGTAAACTAAATAGTTCCAAAAGTGAGGGGGTAGATTCAAGGCATGTACATTTTAAAAATACATTGTTTTTTTAATGCGATGCATCAATCGAAAAGGTAACATGTATTTCGATATATCAAATTAAAACATCTTGGACGAGGATTAAACAGTTTGGATGAGGATAAATCTATACTCTGTACTATTAACTTTAACTATAGTTCCTTTATTATATGATTTTTGAAAACATGTTTTGTCGTTGGCTTAGTTTTTCGATAAATTGATATAGAAAATTCTCACTTGATGCAAATATTTATTTGACACTGGCATTATGCATAAAACGTGCAATGTCTCAATTGATAAAAAGTCTGTAGCTTATATGGCATATTATATTGTTTAATTTTGCATTCACAATGCCATACTGAAAATTATTCTTAATACAAAATGCTTAAAAAATCCACTTGGTCCCTGGCATCCTGAGATTGATCCCATCTCAGGGTGCCACGGACCAAGTGGATTTTTATTGGATGATATCGTCAACTTGGATGATTTGGATGTTGAAATCAAAGATTCTCTTACTTATAAAATATATAATTTCGAAATGGATCACTAGAAATCCTTTTCTTGCGTTGCTAACTAACTCACACAGAATAATATAACATTGTCCAAACATCAATTGTCATAAACGATAAGAAGTATTCTTTAGAGTTAAGTACAGTACAGTACAGAAGTTCATAAAATTCTTATAATTTTGTTATTGGTTTAATTTAATTTTTTTCAGTAATAGTTATTAGTCATAGAAATATTGCGCAGAGGAAGAAACTATTTGACAGTATACTTTTGCCAAAATATAATATTATTCTTAATACAAAAAGCTTAAAAAATCCAATTGGTCCATCGCACCCTGAGGTGGGACCCATCTCAGGGTGCCAGGGACCAAGTGGATAATAATGAGATTCTATAATATTGTATAAAATAGCACGTAATCTATTTAACGTACAACATAAATAATTAACGTGTTACAAGTTTTAACGTGCTACAAAATTTAATGAGTCTTCGCACACCCTTACGCTTCTTTGAATCAACGCGTTAATAAATTAGCGCCTTCATGGACACGTTAAAAAAATATCATTAGTCTATAGCGCGTTAATGATAGCTATGAGTCGTTATCCATTTTTTAATCACGTAACGCTTTAATCACTATCAGATTGCCAATCACCGATATCAAAACTGTCTATTGTTGGTAATTAGTTTTTTCTACAACGCTACAAAATCAAAACGAATTGTATTCTTATACAACGCGATAAAGCCCAATTTTGGTTTGGTTGGTTTACTGTCATTCACACATGACATTGTTGTTTGTGATCCATATTATTTAAACGTCTACATTACGCGTTAGATTCTATACGTTTATTAAAATTGCATTACATGACCGATAATGTCAAGTGTTGATCTCATAAAGACGTCTACATATTGTTGCGAACTGTGATCGCCTCTTCTTGGTGATCGCGGTTATTGTAAAGCTAGTTACCTAAATATCAACCTTAAGTGATTTACTTAAGAGTAAATACAACATTACTTTAAAGCGTTGTGAAAAATACATAGTTATTGTATCACTGAATCACTAGTGATCGCTGTTCAGGCAAATTACTAGTTGAATAACTGGTTATCGTGAATCACGTCCATCGCTAGTTAATGATTTTTAGTCGTTTTGAACACTTCTGGTTGTAACAGCTCTATTTGCAAATGAGATTTCTGGAGTAAATTAGGCTTTCAAAATATTATCAAATTACCAAATAACGAAAAATGGCCAAAAATACGTCAAGTTCTGCATTCCGTAAAATAGATATCGATCAATATAATGAAGATAACTTTAAGGATGATGAAGCGGAACAAGCTATACCAACAGGACCTGATGAAGGAGAAGTTTGCTCGCTTCTTAATCAATATCCTTTTCATACGACATACTTCTTTATTCATTCCTACTATTACGAGTTTTTATAAATTTCCTCAATTTATTTGTTAATTCTGAATAAGTACCTTTCTCAAAGGCATAGATCACTTTAGTGATTAAACAAAGGCGTGGTTCTAACTTTTGAATTGATCAAAATAAAGAATTTCAGAATCCATAATAATGCCAGCCTTCCAGCCTGTCTTATCAAATATGATAGAGGTAATAGATTCATAATTTAGTTATTTTTAAAAATTAAACATTATCTACATACTTTTGTCCTTTATTTAGTAAACATAAAAGTTTTCTACATTTTTAGTAGATTTTATTCAAACCAATGTGGAAATCATCAACAAAAGCTTACCTTTACTTTACATTCAAGCATGAGCTATTCCAGTGTGATTCTATAACATGGTGAGATGTGGGCAATAACAACTACAAAAACCAAGTGAAGAGTTATAACTAGGTGCACTAAGGATCTCAAGTCAAAAACTATTAGCAATTGTTAAAGTTCAGCTTACTGCAATTTTGGTTTCACATATAGCTTAATTTAATTATAATAGCATTAAGTGTTTCATTATTTTTTTTTAATATATTTATCTTGCAATAAAAATCCTTAACTTCTAATATACAGGCAGACACATTGAAGCTCTCAGACTGGTGTTAGGCAGTGCTCCAATGGGATCTTCAAATCAACAAACAAAGGTATATTACATTTATATATGCATTCACTTCTCTATTAATCTATTACCCACCACTTATTGCATAATAATTAATATCACCAAAATGTATGTATGCACATTACTTCAAACAACTGCACCAAATTGAATGATTCTCATTTTATGTGTATCTTAATGTAAGACAAGGTTATTTACAAATAAGAAAATTTATAAATAGATGTAATTTATAAAATAAGGCTATATGGCAGTATGAAGTTCGCAGGGCAACTAGTGTTATTTATTAGTAAATTATAGTGTTATTTTATTCAGAAAATCACAAATCAGTACTGAAATAAGATACCAACCAAACCAAGGACAAATTTTAGTATCAAGTTCAATGATAATCTAAGCAAAATAAGTCAACATGTCTTAATATGATATTTTCTCTTCCGTCATTATTGATTTGCTATAGATGAGTCCTGTATTGCTGAAAAATTCTTTACATTTGTGTTTTAATTACATTTATGAAAATATCTCTACTCTATATACTAAATACACTTATCAATATTTACAGGATAATGCTCTGGCATTGACTTTAAAAGTGCTCCTTGCAATTAAATCGGCTCAGATTGAAGAAGTAATTGGCAATCTTTCAAGGGATGATATTGATGTTCTTATGAAGTATATTTATAGAGGGTTTGAGTATCCATCAGAAGGTTCCAGTGGACATCTTCTATTATGGCATGAAAAAGCATACAGCATTGGTGGTACAGGATCTATTGTGAGAGTATTATCAGATAGAATGAAAGTATAATCAGAATATTTAATTATAATCATCATTATTAGCATATTGTTATTTTAGCAAATAAAAGTATTATTATATGATTCTGTAGTTTCAATTAGACTTCTTTTTATCCTTTTTCATACTCCATTTATTTGAACACAGGGTCTCTTTTCTTGTACAGTCAATAGAATGTGTTTTGTGGTTTTACTGCTTTTTGCTGCTGTCGGCGCCAGCTCAATGAAACTGCGCCCTAGGTAAAACTGACGCCCAATAATAATACTAATGAAGGTACACCGATTAAAGAATGTTATTTTGCCAAATGACAAAAGAAAATCTTTAAGTACTGTTAATATTTATATGTATTCAAAGAAAGTAAATTGTTATAAGGTACTGCATATTTAAGATTCAAATACTAAGAGTTAATATAGTATGTTTGCCATGCCAGACCGCACCCCAAATACCATAGGCAAATGCCTAATTTGCCTGTATGGACGAGACGAGAAAATAAGTATTATTTATTACTTTTTTTTAAATTTGAAATCGGTTCTATTTTTTTAAAAATGTTTTTATTTCATTATTTTTAGTGATACTTATCTAGATAATTTATAGGTATCACTAAAATATTAAATATATAAATACCTAAAAGAAATTACATTTACAACTATTTATTTGCACGACGTGACCACGAAATTGATGAACATACCTACTTGCATGAAAAATAATATATATTCTCGATAGCTCAATAGAAATAGGGAAACCTGAGGAAAGCTGAAGTAATATGAGGACTGGGTGCAAGACAACTATAGGATAAATTCAGAGTAAAATATATATTAGGGTAAAGTATATAAGACAACTTTACTGTATAGGATAAATTCAGAGTATATATTAGGGTAAAGTATATAAGACAACTTTACTGACTATAGATCTTCAAAACCATAAATTTATTATTTCATCTGAATTTAAAACGTAATCAAAAATACAAAAACAAAACCATAAAAGTAATGCAAAGAGTCTACATAAAGTAACAAACACAAAAAAAAAAACATACAGTCGGATTGAGGGCCTCTTCCTTTTTTGAAGTCGTTTAAAAATAGAACCAACTTTAAACATTGAAAAAGTGAGAAATATCCTCATAATACTTATCTTAATAGCGACTTATTCAAGAAACTACTACTAGAGTCGGGCTATAATTTAATTAATAAGAAACCCACAGAATACCTGCGCCCTACTTGAATAACAGTTTTCTAAAATATTAATATATATATTTAATAACAACATATATAAGTATATGTAATATATATATGTGGAAACTGAGTAATTTATGTGATTTTGTTTTATATAAAACAACATCACATTTACTCAGATTCCACACACCCACAATATATAAAAGTCCTTTTTCTATATTGACCCGACCGGGAATTAAACCAGGGACCTCAGAGATAGCGATACCTAAAAAAAATTTAAGTTTGAAGTGGCTCTATTTTTTGTAAAAAAATCAATAAATGTAAATTTGTACGCTGTTTACTGATTTTTCGCCGTTATAAACATGTATTTATTTTTATGGTATTTGGTAAAAAGCATATTTTATTTGGTTATAAAAAGAAAACTACCCATTTGATTTCGATTAAATTTGTTTGGCATTTCATGTGGCCTATAAGCTGTCGAATAAAAAATAATTTTGAAAATCGGTAACCTGCCCTGCGATTCTGTAAAAATTCAAAAAGCGGCACCCGCTCAATCTTGAATTGGTAATAATAACGTTTCGTGGCATATTTGAAGTTAGTTTCGAAATAACATAGAAACAGAATATCTGACAGCCAGTTGCACAAACGTCCATTAATATTGTCATTAGTTAAAAGCGACAATTTAACATTCATTTGTGGTTAAAGGCGTCATCAAACCTTAATGGACGTTTGTGCAACTGACCGTCAAGACATGTATATTCAATCAATTTTTTTTTTTCTATTTTTATATAAAAAAATGGAAACTATAGAATTTCTATACCAAATGACGTGAATTCGGACACATTAGTGAATTGGAATTTGGTTCTGGATTTTTACAGAATCGCAGGGCAGTTCGCAAAAAAGGCGGTGAACATGCATCGCCGCCGTCGAATATATAACCTCCTTTACGATATTGAAGTCGGTTTAAAATTGCCAATTTTCCTTGTATCTAATTATAGGTTGGACATATAGGTAAACTTTATGGACTTAATATACAAGTAATAATTTTTTGATCATAAAAAAAATAGGTTATCAATTTTCCTTTATTGGTATTATTAAAGAATTGAAGACGTAGGTTTGTCACCTTAACTTTATAGTAGTGTGTATCTACATAAAATTTATATACAAAGTATGTTCTTCAAACGTAAAAATTAATTAGGTACCATCATCAAAACAATTTTGCAATCACTCACTCAGAAATACAGTTTTAATAATGTACCTATCGTTTCTAGTGCAAACGTAACCGCTGTTAGCCTGCAAGAGACTGCTTTTTTAAAGAAAGTAATTGGTCGGGTGGCTTAGTGCCAATCCCTCGCTGCAAGAGAATGCGCCATATATAAGGCCCTCAGTACACTTGTCACTCGATAGTTTTTTGATCGCGCTGTCGAGGTACACTCACCCACGACACAATGGAGATTCCGGTTAGTAATATTATCTGCGTCGCTCTGTTTTTATTTATATATTTTTTGTGTCCGAACAGAAACTAGAACATCTGATACTTGTTATGTAATACTTTCAATATTACTTCCTGTTTTTTATACGGATCAGACGAAAGATAATTCACTATTACAGTTATGTAATTCATTTAGCTTTAATAATTAAAATGAACTGCTCCTTAATAAAATTATGCACAATGTATTATAACTGTTTCGTTGCAACATATTAACTTTTTCTGGATAAATTTACTATTTAATTTTATCTATAAAAATATAATTAAAAAATAATAATTGTTACAGAAACTAATACTACTGGTCTCCTGCATATACTCCGCCGTCGCGTCCCACCACCAGTCGCATATTATCCCTGTGGAAGGCTATGAAACCGAACTTCAAGATCTAGGTCAGCATGTAGAGATACCCGAAACACCAGTAAAAGTTATTAAAATAACTAAAACTATCGCAGTGAAAGTGCCTGTGCCATACCCCGTGAAAGTCAGGGAAAAGGTGCCCTACCCCGTACAAGTCGCCAAACCCTACCCCGTGCCCGTTCCGCAAATCATCAAAGTGCCACACATAGTAACACCGACCAAATCCGGCCATAACGACGAAGGAGGCTACGGAAACGGTCAATTCAACACCCACCGTCTTGGGCAAGAGGGTAGCACGTACCAAGTACAAGAGCCACATTCAGAAGGACAATCCTTTGGTCAGGAGGGCCAGTCTTTTGGTGGCGATAGTTCGGTACATGGCCAAAATTTCGGTGAAGGCTCCTCATATGAAGATTCTCCAGGTAGTTCTTATGATGCCCCTATCAGTTATGAAGGATATTCCGGTCTCACCGATGGTGCCGCTCAAGAATCTGATGAATCGCAAAGTTACGATCAAGCCCTCCAAGACTACTTTAACAAACAGAAAACCAACGGCTACCAGGGTGGGTCAAGCTATCATTAAATTTATATTTATCCTTTTATCATTACGTACCTGACTGATGACGTGGGTTATTTACTGTATGAATGTTGAATTATAGGCATAATAAGCGCGTTTATACTATATTGTTAAATATTTGTTACTAGATGTGTAACTTGATATCGTTAATTTTGTAAATAAATGAAAATACATTACAACTACTCTTTTATTTGAACATAATAAGGTTTACTAAAAAGCTAAACTTCTACTACATAGTAATAACACGATCACTTATTTAACTACATAATTCACTAAACAAAACTAACAAATCAGAAACACCAATAGCTAAATTATCATCGAGCACATTGAAAAATTTCATTCGATAAAACGAATTTATCTATAAACTCAATGTTTTAACATTATGTGTATAACTATGAACTACTTTTAAAATATTATTTTCCAACATTTATCCCAAACAAATAAGCTATAACTAATTCTTCATACAAATATATGAAATGCTATTTTATATTATATTGTTAAACATAATACATGTTTAGACAAATTTGTGTCTCACAGTAGTGGCAGCAGTCAATATAGCTGTGGAGTATGCTAAATAAGATTACTGTATCAGGTACCCGTTGCACATTAATGAGTAATGACTATTAGATTCAATATATCAATACATATTAATTAGAACGTAGGTGAGAATTGCACACGCGGCCGCTTGCCACCTTTGTTAACGTCGGCATCGGACGACTCGTCCAATATCGGTGTGACGTTTACGACAGGATCTACGAGGTCTTCTGGCTTTTCATCCTCGTCGGAAACGTACATCCTTGTCAAATCCGAGGCGACTGATGCCGTTTCACATACACTGTAACAAAATAAAAGAATCGCTGCATTACACCTTTCGCTTAAAGTTAGGCAACGACAATTATATAACCAATAAAAAAGATTATGAAATCTCCATCTCATTTATTTGTCGCCATTTAGTTGTTACAATACACACATAATATTTCTATCAAATTGAACAATGGCTTCTTATTATTTTTGATAAAATTTGGACAATTCCCATACGTTCATAGAATTCCTAACGAGCATACGTCTAATACAGAAGGCAATCATTTTACTTTTGCAAAAACATATTAGCATGGTAATGACCCATCACCACGCGCGCTAGTTCTGATCGATTAAAAAAAGTAAATTTTAATTAAGTTGTCAGAAACACACACCTATCTAAAAATAAATAACAAATATCTTAATTTCACATAGAAACAAATATGAAATAGGTATAAATTTGATTACTAAAGTAAATTTCGTAAAGACCGTCCATAAATTACTTCACACGAAAATCAAGATTTTTTTTAAGTCAAAAAATAGAAAACAATGAATAATATCTTGTGTTATATAATTTTAAATTATGAAATTGATTTGAAATACCAAATGAATATGTAAGTTAATTAAGTAGTAATCATACTTAAACCGCGTCACGCTCGGGTAGGTGCTAGTTTTTATACATATGCAGGCTAGGATTTGTCCTGAGATCTCAGGATTTTTGAAATCTTCTCAGGATTGCGGTCGGATTTCGAAAATCTTTAAATGAAAAAACTATTATTTAATGAAATACAGTAACTTCTTACGTTCGCTTTATTAAAAAGTTATACAAACTAAAAATAATTTTCCTAACTTTGCGATGTGCAATGAGTGAGATCCGCAGTGTATATAATAAAAGATAATATATTGCCTTATTTTGTGTTAATTTGTAGGTATATTTTCTTGTTTAATTTGAATTGAAATTATTAATACTTTTTAACTTCTTATTCTTTGTATTGCACATCCAATCGGGTATACTGTTGTGGTTAAATTATGCAATAACAAATGCAAATTACACATGTACACAGTATGGCAATAAATAGTCTATTCTAAAAATAAATATTGAAGTAAATCACTACTTAGACCTTTGATAAATTCTGATTTTTACATGCACTAAAAAAGAATATTGTTAAAAACCATTAGTACTGCCTGACACCTATCTTTCTTTTTCCTGTAATTTAAAGTACCTACCTGTTATTGTAGAACTCGGATTCGACCGGTTGGATGTTGAAGTTAGACGGCTCCTGTTTCACACTCGTCTCAGTTGGGAGTGCGGGCATATGCAATGAACTCGGAACGAAAGGTGGGGACGGAGCTGTCAGCTCGGGCGCCTCCAGCGGGGTCGGCAACTCCTCACACATCAACACGTCCGAGTCTATGTCACGCTCACCTTCCTCTGTTGTTTGCCTATATAACGCGACAACGATCATCTTTATTACATACCGTAGGCAATAAAACAGAGATTTGATCCAATCTTATGATCACGATATGTAACGATGATAAATCATTAATAAAAGAAGAAGAATAAGAATGATCTGTCAGGCTAACGATTACTATAAGGCTGACAGTTCAATTGTCAGAGCTTAATTTCAATTCAGTACAGTCGGAAGTCGTGGATCATATACCTAATTTAAAATAGCCGCATCCACACCGAAATACAGTCCTAATATTTACACGTTCAATGATGACAGGTACGTGATGGACCTTCAGTCAGATTTGCACCATCCTTTATTTCTTATTAATTTATTATAAGAAAAATGACATTGCAGGAATACACCAGATGTGGTGAAAAACTATTCTCAAAGGTACGTCAAATCATAACGTTAATATAATCTTCTTGCAAAATGCCAATTAGAATCTTCGAATACACTAACCTCAACATAATGTTGTTAAAGCACAAAACGTTTCTTACACGGTTCTGCAACTCGACAAATGTAATGCCTTTTGGTGATAGTCATAAAATCATTAAATTTTCTATTTACCACAACAATACCATTCAGATATCTTTATTTTTAAATCTAAAGTTCATTACTGAGTAGGTAGTACTTGAGTTTATAATATGCGTGTATCTAAAAGCAAATTAATTGTGACTTTTGCGATCGGAGCTGTAGTAGGTATCACTTAACACATTGTGTAATCATTAAAATATGTAAATACCTTAACAAATAAACGTACTATTTTTATGGCATATTTTGTCGCATGTTCAGGGGAATTGTGATTTATTTTAATTACATTTTTACAGATAGATAAATATTGTACATTTTAATTATTTCTTTAGACAGGATCCGACCATGACATTAATAGCAGATGTAATATCAATTACCATCAATTACAATTTTGAAATTGTCCCAGTAAGTAATATAAAATACTTGTATTGGGACTATTTCGCTCCAGCTTTGTGGCAAGTACATATTTTAATTATAACAAGAACCCACATTAATGAATGAATGAATTCGAGTGTGAGTATTGTGTTGTGAATGTGTATTGTGTGTTGTGAGTGTGTGTATTGTGTTGTGTGTTGTGCCTGTGGGTGTGACATTTATAACAACTATGAACCTGCTGTCACTCTATTTTGTATGACAATTACTTAAATTAATTTATTTCAAACCAAACCGCACTAAATTATATCTACAAATAACTCACCTTTCTAAGTTCAGTGCAATTTTATACTCTTGCGACTTCTGAACCAGTTCGAACCATGTTGGCTTCTCAAGTTCTCCACCCTCAGGATTAAAAGAGGATCCAGGCCTAAAAATATTTTGTACTTTACAACAATGTTACATATTAAGATTTATCAATTAATTAGCTTGTCAGTAGTAACTTACATTGGCGTGAAATTGACCATAGTTGCGAGATGATTCTGCTTGTGCACTTGATAGAAATTCTCAGGTGTGTCTATGACTGTAAGGTCTTTTGAAACATTCTTGGACAATACAAAATTATTTCGTTCAACAGAGTACGAACTACCGCTACTATCGGTTATGTCGTTCAGGGAGAATCTCAGTAGACCTATAATGAATGAAACAAAAATATACTTTTACATTAATACGTTTTTAAAGCGCGCTATAAAATATATATACATTTATATAGACTTACTATCATTCACTGGCAATATCTTACAAGCAACCTCGTAAAGAATTTCTGCAGACCAATGGTGTGGTATACGAATAAATACTTTTCCGGTATCAACTGGCATATGAAATCCAAGTTTATTCAATAATTGCAAAAACTTCAAATCTTTACATGTCGAAGCTTCTTCACAATTCCATGGAACCAATGGCACTGACTGATTACACACTAAAACAAAAAATCTGTTTTAAAGTTTCAGTACTCAAAGGGTGAAATAAGATCCTATTACTAAGTATGTGCTGTCCGTTCGTCTGTAACCAGGCTGTAATCATGAACCTTAAAAGCTGGACAGTTCAAATTGACAGTTAGTCCGACTCGCACTAGACTCGTTTTTTAAGACTGGCATTCTTATATATATAATGGTACCTAAGGAACTCTCAATAATTGATATATTGTTCAAAATTAATACTCTTGCGACTTCTGACAACAGTAAAAATATAAAGTTTTATTTAATTCTTCTATTTTTAACCTGAAGAAAAGAAATAAACTTTACCTAAAATGTAACATATTAATATTATTTCTAATATTAAACAAGCATATACTCACAAAGAGAGTGATATGACACTGGTGATACAACAGGAAAATCATCCGTTTTCTTCCCAAGATTTTGCTTATGGAACTTTGTCTTCAACGAAGTATTATCAACCTGATGACTCTTCGTTCGTTTCTCAATATAAATTTTAGCGTAACAAGTTTCCAACAATACTTTCTGGACCCAGTCAAGTGAATTAGACTTTCCATCCTGCACAAGTTGTTCGCATATTTTGTTAATCTCATCATCTATCGTTTCTTTGTTTGGGGAACTTTCCGAACTCCTTTCAGTTTCCCCTTTCATAAAATTGTCTGTGGTATCTTTGTCAATCAAGTTTTGTTTAAAGAGTTCTTTGATAACAGACTCTCTAGTTTTGACGATACCATCTTCTTTGAACATTTTGACCAGCTCTCCAATAGGATCTGGTTTGGAACTATATTGCATATAATTCCAGCTTAGAGATGATAGCTCATCATCTGCCCACCTGTGATTGAGTGAAATATTTATTTATTTATTTAGTACACCAACGATTGTGACATTTATTTGATTTAAAAAACTAGCTTAATTTAAATTTGCTGAATGTACAATCATTTACATAAACATTTACTTAGTATACGAATCATACAATCTCACCCCATGAAAAACAAATAGGAAACAGTTACAAATAAAAATAAAAAACAAGGAAAACAATATACTTAATACACTGAGACGTTGAGATTTGAACAATTATTTAAACACTAATCGCTTCAATTCAGCTTTAAACTGGATTAGAGACATCACATTTACATCAAGGGAATCAATATATTTATAATATATACACAAATACGATAATATATACACAAGATAACGTTAATAACAATACAAAATCAATTAAATTTATCACCGCCAACTTTATCACACTCAATTATCAGATGAAGGTAAATACCCCTATATCCGATCGTGTACCAAAAGAAATAGAAATTCATCTAAAAGTAACACCGTTATAGAAAGGATATTATTAACCCATTGATGTGAGTCATCATACGATTAATACTAGTTATGGAACATGACACTTAACAATCAGTTACCTTCCTAAACGGGCTTCAAGAATATACTATTTCTACATAGTAACTTTTTTCAGTCTTTATATGTTAACAGAAATAATTTTGTTTAGGCAAATATAGTAAAGTCGCCGAACAGAGAGAATTCCGTATAATGACCCGGCACTACATATCTCTTTCACTCGTGCATAATTATATATTGATATTGCGCTCGCACAAATGCATCTGGCCAATTTTATCATAGTAAAGTGAACATAAAATGTTTACGATTTTTATCGGTAGGCACAAAGGTGCAAAATTCTTTCTGTTCGGTGTACGTACGTAATTTAATAACCATTGTTTCTATAAGAGATCTTTCACCTGTCCTTTGAAGTACTGTCACCACTGCTCGACTTCTTTTTAGCATCGTCACTATCCGGTTTGGTGTCAAGTTGCGCAACGGCATCTTCAGGTTTGGCAAATACTTTATCGTTGTCTATATTTTCAATTTTCAATCGAAAATTGGAAGAACTCTGAATCGCATGTGGCTGCTTTATGAACGCGTTTATCACGTATTCAATCAAATCAGACCAATCCTGTTATATCGAAAAACCAATAGTTGAAAAACCAATTGCTTAGAGCAGCGATCCAACCGAACAAGGGCCCCATTAGCCCAATTCGTAATCTTGTGCAATGAGTGACTATCCTATCCCTTCTCATTAAAATCATCCCCAAAGAAGTCTACGTAACATTAATACGGGTAATAGTCTCCCGATATGACACTATTTTAGCAAAGAGAAATTCATTGCAGATTAATGCGCAAGTAGGTTTTAATGACTTAAGATCAGTCGTCGGGCCTCTTGACGCAAGTCTTTATCATATTAAAAATAAATAAGGAGATTGCCCCAAAATCATCACGCATTTCGTGCTTTCGGTCCTTAACTAAACAAAGTCTATTATTATATAGTGATTAAAAACAATTCAAAAGAATCAATAATTATCTATATGAGAATTAAAAACATTGATATGTATCAAAACAACAAATCTCAAAAACTAAAGACTTATAATGCGCGGCACGTAAATTTTGCCCAAATAGCTAGAAAATAGCTATTTGGGCAAATACGCAGATACTATACTGCTATGGTAACGCGCCACGTCTCACCCCTGCACCTCGACTGAGACCCAAAATGTGCTAATCGCCATTTTGGTTCAACTATATTCCGCGTATTAAATAAAAAAATATCTTATATATTACGGTACAGTACTATAATACAGTAGGTATTTTATTGTATAATAAAGTATCGATAAAGTATAATTTAGTTAGACGTGGCGAGATACTCACATCACATATTTCGAAATCGGATTTCCACATAGAAGTGAAAGTTTTCAATATCTTCGGCTGGAAAAGAGTTATAATACTGCCGATTTCTCCTCCGATGTGATGCATCAAAGTGAAAATGCAGTCATTTACAAATTCACCGTTGACCGCATAATCTTCTAATAAGAGCCCATATTGATACATAACTTCGGTTGTTGCAAATCTGAAAAATTTATAACTCTAATAAATACTTAAATCAAAGAACATTTTTCATTCATAAAAAAAACCTATATTCTTTTATTTTATAACTACTACTACAGAAACTATTCTTAAAGAAAAATGCTTAAAAAGTCCACTTTGTCCCTGGCACCTGGACTCGAACCCATGACCTTTCGCAATCAAGGCGATTGCTCTAACCACTGAGCTACCCAGGGCCTAACAGGACTGTCGGATTTTTCAAACACTTGTTACTTTTTCGCTACTACAGAGCGTATTCTCATCAACATTCAGGCAATCCACCCGAACAGCCGAAAAAAATATTTTTACAAATATTAAAACTTTCGACATAGATGAAAATTTGTTCTAATTATTATATTTGATCAATTTTGCATTCACAATGTTATAATGAAAAATGCTTAAATATCCAGTTTGTCCCTGGCACTCTGAGATGGGACTCGAACTCACGACCTTTCGCCAACGCAACTTCCAACGAGAAATACCTAGCCAGTTGGTAAATAGGACTAAAGAAAACGAAGAGTTAGTAATAATTACCTACTGCTTTTTTAGTTAATATATAGATACATTGCTTTTTAGACGTATAACTATTACAATGTTTAACTATTACATCCACAAAACATAAATTACAAATAACTTAAAACTTACTGTTTTATGTGATCAAGCATATTTGTAGTTCCAGTATATTCCGGTAATTTCATAACGTTATCAAGGAATGTTAATAAGATATGATTTGTGACGACAAGATCCTGAAAAAGCCGGGTTTTGTAGTAGACAAAAATTAAAGGCTTATTACACCAGCGGGTATACCATGTTACTACAGTCTATTTGTTTGAAAATAGTTTGTCACCCATAGATAGACCTGTGTCATTTCTGCGGAGTAAACCTATAATCTACAGGAAAAGAACTATTTTCCATATTATTTTCTAAATTTTAGGTTTAGTAGTTTCAAGGGGCAAATAGACAATTTTCTTTAATAACTCCAAAACTATCTTAAAATTAGAAAAAAAAAAACAAACATTTGAGCTGCTCTCAACCTTTCATATGATTTATCACACAATATAGTTTGAGAAACAATTTCTATATATGTAGGATCCCTATTTTAATCAAATGTCTGTATTCTTTTCACGATTGTTGAATTCCTTCACTCCATTCATCGCCATCACCCCAGTGACAAGGGATTTTGGATAAGTACCCTAGTGTTTTGCGTTCTACTCGCTGTTGCATAACCATTATGTCAAACCATAATTTATCTACTACTACCAAAGACTTCTATGTATACTATTTTAGACAAGCTGTTCAGACTTGTTAAATGTTGTGTCAACTCAACACATCGTTTAGTCGATTGTATTGTCGTCTCGCTTACTCCTTCTTATCGTAACGTCTACGCGCTCACGCGCGCTCGTTCTGTGTCACAATTTTAGTTCTGAACAACTTGTCTTGAATACATAGAAATCTTTAACTACTACTAAGCTACGTTTCTCCTTGTACGTCCAGCCCTGCGATTCTGTAAAATCTAGACCCGAATTCGAATTCACTCATGTGTCTGAATTCACGTCGTTTAGTGAATTAAAATACAATACAAAATTGATTGAATATACGTGTCTCAGTTATTCTATTCCCTTGTCATTTCGAAACTCACTTCATTTATGTCACGTGACGAAACGTTATTACGAATGAGGAAATATTAAAAAAAAAAACGAAAGCACTAAAAAAGCACCTCCACTAGATGGCGACTCTAGCAAAAGTTGATTTTTGCAGGAAACGAATGGACACACTGAAATGTGAAAAGTTCGAAACATGGATATCAATACAAATACGAAAAAGTACAAATAGAATATAAGTTGTTTATTGAATTTTAAAACTGATTTAATTTTAAATATGAAAGAAAACCGTAAAGTTTGTCATGGAAAAATCAAGCACGTACCGTAGCGACATCTAGTTTGATTTCGGGAACTAATGTTTTTTTTTAAATACTTCCTCATTGAAGGTTGAGCGGGTGGCGCTTTTTGAAGTCCATTCGGACACCTGAGTGAATTCGGGTTGGATTTTTACAGAATCACAGGGCTGTCTTGTAGACTCGAGCTCTATTTTTCGATTCACTCGTTATAATCTCCTTTCTGTAACAAAAGCCTAAGTCACGCTGGACTTCTAAGTCAAAATTTTTGGTTCGTTCGTCTGCAGGGTTGCCAACACGATTCGAAATATTGAATTTTGTACTTGGCATTGTATGGAAATATTTTTTACCATATATACACATAAACAAAAAAAGTTTTAATTTGAACTAAACGGCTAAACGTGATTTAATAATTCATTTCAGCGTCATTTATTAATTTCATGATTTGACGTCTTCTATCACTCGTATACAGAATTTACTAAACGACGTGTGGTTCATACATTGTAGTCGGACGAATTAGAAATGGCGAATTTGTTATGTCGAATAAAAATAGTACAAAACGAGCGCTCAACGAGAGACGAACGATTCAAAAATAGAGCTCCTGGTAGATAATGCCCTTGGTACTGAGTCTGCCTTTTGCTGTTCTTTGCAATCGTTTAAACAAATAAACATGATCAGCAGTATCGCTGCTGCACTGTGATATAACCACATACAAAATGATTCAATAAAATCGTGAACGTCTTTTGTTCTTACCTGTAAATACTGTTTAGAGTGATATTTTGGATTATAATGTCGCAATAGCAACACCAACAAGGAGCGAAGTTCTTTTGTCTCGCACATTTTAATCTGAAGTCGCACCAGTTCATTCTTGTCGTCCTGACAGATATGTGTAAACTTCTTATAAGCCTCGACGGCTTGCACGAACTCGCGAATAGCAGTGACCACCTGTGATAAAGCAACCCTTAGAAAGCTAAACTACCTACTACTTATGTAAATTCATTTAGACTAATAATTATTATTTAAACTAATAGTTTTTAAAAAGATTGCTACCATGTAGTTTATTTTTATTGAGTCAGAATTTCAGTTACAGCGTTATCATGGCGCTTGCAACATCGGTGAAATTACGGGGTTTCGATAAAAATATGGTAGTCATAAAAAAATTGACAAATCCCCACACAATTTTAAATCATATTACATTGAAGGTAGAGATCAAACGTCCATTAATGTTTAATGACGCCTTTAAGTCCTAATGAATGTCAACTTAGTATGGTAATTTCACTATAAACTAATGAAAACTTTAATGGACGTTTGTGAAATTGGCTGAAAATCTATTGCAGAAACTTGACATATTGACGTGCAGCCATGTGTTCCACATGGTGGCATTTCCGTAAAATTATTAGGTACTCTAAATGTTTATGACCATGAAATTTCAAAACAACATAATAATGAGTATATTTATCCAAATATTACTTTTAATATAATGACACGTATTTAAAAATTGAAAGTACAAGTCCGGGAAACAGCGTTAAATTACAAATTACTCGAAATTTTTAACGTTACTGTAAAAGGGTGAACTGAAAAATAATAAAAAGTAAAATATTAATTTCCTTATTACCAAATGGAGTCTTCGTATGCTTGGCTTCAAATCATTTCCGTCCAATTTAATTGCAAGTTCAAACTGTTCACATAGATTTACTCCTTCAGCGGTTAAATAAGATGCTATATCAAATGATAATACAGAACAAACATGCTCCACGTCCAATTCTATTTGGGTAGCAAACTTGAGAAAATATGTGACAAGCCAGAAAAAATGTGACGTGTCTATTTCCAGTTCCAGATTTGTTAGAATTTGACTGTGAAGCGTTTGAACTAAATAATTATAGCCTTTCAATAGAAAATCAACAGTAAATTCTTTCAACATGTTAGATATATCATCGTCTGTTGGAGTTTTATGCAAAAGCCCTTGCACATTTAGGCTGAAAAAAATTTAAATAGAAACAAATATTTAAACACATAACACACACAAATATTTAAAAATTTGCTAATTTGAGTCCAGCCTGATATATGAGAAAAATGTATTTTCTTCAGTGAACACTGTACACGACAACTTACATATTCGATTTGCCCCTTCTAACAATTTTTTTCCTTTTTCTGTCCTGAGTTATGGTCCCCGATCTCCCTTTGTTATTAATTCTCTGTTTTGAATTATGAGGTTTCTGATGAACTGGCTTTTTGGCAGGTAGTTCATCTTCATTACTGGAAGTAGATATCGATTCTTGATTTTCAATTTGTGTTCCATAGCCACAATCAGAATTTTCAGATATGACGGTTTTCTTTTCGTTGGTCATTAAGTGTCCTCGATTACCTTGATCTTTCTTCCCATTCATAATACACGAAGTATTCTTCACCTATAATATTTTCAATAATATAAATGTCATATTGATGTCTATTAAATTATATGTAATTAATACGCGTATAACGAAATGTAGGTAAATACATTATGAAACTGCATCTCCTTATTGTTATTTTCAGTATAGTCACTTTTGCGGTGGGATTCTTTTTCAGTAGAGTGAGATTGAAATGGTTCATTTGAAATTTCACTGTTATTGTTAACGGATGGTCCATTCCAATCATCGTTAACTGAGTTAACATTAGTTTCATCGTTACTTTTGCCACTTCCACCTGTATCTGAAGAATCTGATGTAGGATCGGATGTTAACATCGGTGAGGAATCGTCACTTCCTAAAAGAATGTAAAATTTAAAAAAAAGAATAACCCAATCCGTACAAAATATATACTGATGACTCACAATGTTCTTATTTTTTTTTTTCTAATGTCAACGGAAAGGGGAGTGCTTAAATTACACTTTTTTTCAAATATATCGTTTTGGCGCTATAGCATTTTTATATGGGCCCTTAACGACCCATCTCATCAATGGAATAATATAAAATATAATTCAGAAATTATCGTAAAGTTAAAACTACTATTAAGTACCTAAAAAGTAGTATTTAGAAATACTAGTATTTCTATTATTATAAATGAAAAATGAACTGGAAACAAAGTAAAGTAATAAAAATAACAATCTAGTAACCTCTATCTGGTGGAGATGTATTACTTTCGTTATCTTCGGAACTATCCGAAAGGGTAGCTTCAAGCCACATATTTAGAAGTTTATGCAATGTTACGACATGCTGATCTTTGTAAAATAAAGCAATCAATTGTACCATAGTTACACCCCAATGTGTCTGAAAGGAAAAACAAATACAAAACACACATCTCGACTCTTAAAAAAAGTCGGGTATTGAATAAGGGTATAAATACTTGTAGGTGTATTATCAGTGAATCAATCTATGTACTCACCACTTCAAAATTTTAATAGTTTAAACAACTTGCACTAAAGCCCTGAAAATCATTTCTTGGAACGAAGTATTGTATGAGTATTGGACATAACAAATCACAAATAACATAAGGAACATCACTTACCGCATCTGGAATTATCATCAACTTTATAAGGACTTTATCGACACCTTGACTAAAAATATTCCATAAAATTCGATTTTGGATAGCATGAATAGGTCCACTGTAATTCGGACTAAGTGAAGCATTTTCTTCTGGAATATGAAGTATGTTTCTAAGCAATAACAATGAGTTGCTAATATTAGCACACTGTTCTAGCGTCAATTTAACTTTTTGGTCGACCTCTATATTTTTCTTCAGAAAATTTATTATTACTCTTGTTGTTCTATGGTCCGTGAAAGCTGCTTTAGTAGCGGCTAACAAATTATTTATCTCAAATATAGTGTGTCTCCCGAAATCAGTTTTGGATATAACATCCACAGAAAGCAAACATTCAATTGGAATGGTTAAATTTACTAATACCCTTATTAGTAACTCTGTTGTCTTATCCTCTTTAGCATGAATTAATAGTGGAATGAGATCTTTTTTTACATGTTGCCCAAAACTAATGTTTCGACGATATGTGCGCAAATACTTGTCTTCGGTCAAAATATTATGCAAGATCAATTCCAAAGCAGCTGTCAACAAATAAACGAGAACGCAAGTACACAAACAAAATTAAGATAAATTTGACTGAATATAAGGTTATTTATTTATTGATATAAATTCTCACAATTGCAATTATCATTTATGTGATATCCATCGGCTTGTATGTACCCAAGATTGCCAAATGTGCTGTGAATTTGAGGACTTCGGAGCACCCATTCCATCTTGTATCTGAAAATAAATAATGAGCGTTAAAGTAGGTTAAATAGTATTTAGTATTAAATTCCGCGGTTTCATCACAGTGAGTGATGAAACCGCGTAATCGAGACAAAAGTTTGCATGTTGAACAGTTTACCACTAGTAATCAGTTATTAACTCTTTTTTTAAACGACAGTATAACTACACGTTTTCCTACTAAGTATATATTAACTAATATTTAAAACAATTGGTCATTGTATATAACGGCGGGTAGTCCGAAGGGGCTATTACGAAGTCCAAATAGATCGTCCATATCAGGGGACTATCTTTAAAATAACATTGCAGGCGTGTATACCAATGTGGATTTATTCCATTTTATCACTTTTCGTACGAAAATATAACGAGATGAGCGTGATCTCGTCGGATGTCTTTACTCCTCGGCGATCGGAAACAGAATGTGTGCCAAAATGGCGGCAACTTGGTTTTTATAAACGAACTGTCAAAGTCAGTGTCACCATTCTAATAAAATTAAAAGTATCGATGATCACGCTCTCTTTACAATCGAGTAATTAAGTAATCGAGTAACTAGCAAATAAAATAAAAGAAACTAAATCAAACGACCTTCGTAATGATGATGCGACATATATATTACGATAAATAAGAGTGAACAATTGAAAATTATTAATCAAAAAATTACCACACTAAAATAAAAATGAAATTCATATTTTTCAGAAGATATTTTTAATATTGGAATACACTACTCTCGTCGGAAAAAGAACAAGTCATAGCTTATCTAGGAAACGCCTAATCCTACTAATAGCCTAAGCATTGGCCTAATTGTATAAAAAAACCTTTCACAATCACTTTCAATTTGACAGTTAAAAAATATTCGCGAACTTCACGTTAATGATTATTTGACGTGTGATCGCTATTGCGATCGCGACGTTTTTTGAAAGATTTGAATGAACGATAACGTTCATTTGACGTCAATCGGAATTTGTCTAATCAAAGTGACAGTTAAAAATAACTTTGAAAGTCGACAGTTCTATAGATTTCGAAAGTGCAGTTTCTCCGCTTATGCGAAAATATTATTACTGACTATAGAAAAAAGATGAACAGCAATAAAATCAGAAATAAAGGTATGCCCCTCTTATTTTTCACCTAAGGAAAGCTACACCACACGCAATATATACTTAGGGCCAGTTTCACCGGTTACTGATAAAGTTTCAGATAGTTATCTGATAGTTAACGATATCTACTGGATAAAGGTAGCAGCTAACTTTTTTCTGTTTCACCATCAAACTGCTAGATAATTTATCTGGCAGATAAGTTATCGGCCACTTATTAGTTGACGGAACGGCAACGTCGCTTTTTTGCGTTTCAATACTACGACCCAAATTATCGTCAATCACAAATCATTTTTAAAACTTAACTAATATTTTTTTTGTGTTCAATATTATTTAAGTAAACTTTATTCATATATTTTGAATTATAATTTTATGATTCTAGAATGAAAATAATACGATATTCGTATACTTAGCTACGTGTTTACAGAAACGAAACGCAACTATCATTTGTTTTGCTTTGTTGATATTTTGTGTTTAAGACGCTTTTCAATTTTTAAACTATTCTTTGTGTATTCTTTTTGGATCTGTTAATTAATAATGAAAACACAAAAACGTGAAAGAAGTGTGAATTTTAATCAAGAAGAAACGGAGCTTCTTTATTTACTAGTTAACGGAGATTTTTTACTTAGTAGCCCGTTGTAGTTTTTATATCATTTCTATTAACGATAGAATATAAACAGCCTACAGTTGCATATATAAACAACAGCCGAAATCGATTCCTAAAATCTTGAACGTCAAGTGATTCTAAATAATTAGGTCTAGGGCTAATTACTCGATTCCTACGGGGTCGCGTAATACGTTCGAAATATTCATCTAATTCGTCTTCTAAAAACACAAATAAATCCATTTTATAATATTTGTGACACTTGTGACTGCAATCAACGCAAAGCACACAAAAATGGTCTAAAACTAAAACTATTTTCGTTCCCGTCACTTGAAATTTTTTTTTATCTATCAGATAACGTCTATATCAGCCACTTGAATCGGCTGATAACATATCTAATACTTTATCTGCCAGATATGCCGAGACCTGTGAAATCAAAAGTTGTAGTTTATCTGGCAGATAAGTTCCTAATAGGCTATCAGGGACTTTATCAGCAACCGGTGAAACCGGCCCTTAATATTGGTAAATAATGAATTACTTGGTAATTAATATTCGGTGGCAGGGTAGCTTTGAAGGCACTATAGAAAAAAAAAAATGAAAAATGTTATACTGGAAAATATTCTCAATGAAAAATGGTTAAAAAATTCACCATTCTCAGGTACTCTTGAGATAGAACTCGAACCAAATTAAAGCTTTCGCAAATACAAAATGTTGGTTAATTTAAACTTGAAATTATAATAATAGAAAGCGTTAAGTAAAATTTTTCGAAATGTATGTTGTGGAGATCTTTTTATACTTTATTGCCAAATTAAAGCAAATCATGTGGCGCATGACGTACATTTATTTGGGTCCATGACAACAACAGATTCAGCCCAAAAATTAAGTCCAGTCATGGCCTAAATAATTTTTAAATAATTATTTCATCCATAGACCATTCAATGATCGAAAATGGAAAATGGACGGGAGAATAAAATAAACCTTACGTAAGAAGTTTTGTTCTTTTAGTTCTATACCGTGTCGTGTAGCGAAGAAAATAAAAATACTAATACGAACCGAAAATAAATAGTCAAAAAGATACCGAATACCAAACGAATATTCGGTGCATATATAATACGTATAATGTTGAATTTTAAACAGCTATATTCTTATATAAAGAAATTGTTAAAATTCGATCTTTCTTTACCTTATCTTAAAAATGTTACCCGAACGTTCCTTTTCTAATCAGATGGACGCAAACTGGTTCAGGGGCAGACACGATTTGGATCTGGTAGACGCAAAGTGGATAAAACGCCTAATTCCGAAGTTTTTATTTGTGTATAAAAAACCCAAGATGTTTCAAAAAAATAATAGGCTAATCATTTTTCATTGAAATTAGTACTGGGTTACTTTTATTCGATTGGAGAAAAAGTCTTTTCGCATATAGTATGCATAAATTTATAATAAAACCTTTCTGTCTATACCATTTGTATCTGGCTGGTTTCGGTATCATTAAAAATTAAAAAGTTGCGAAAAAGGACGGTCAGACTTCATAGTCTGTGGCGAAACCCGTGTTAACTCGCAACAAGCTGATGCTGCGTGTATGGTGGAATTGAAAGGGCATAATTCATTATGTGCTGTTACTAGCCTGATACAAATAGCAACTTTCAGTATGGAGATCAAACATTAAAACATAACAGCTGTTTTTTTATTATTATGAGGCTATTATATATTTCTTTTTAAGTATATGAATTAATCCAACGATATTTTCTTTCGGATTATTAGTAAAAAAAAATAAAATTCCTTTAATTTCTCAATGGCATGATAAGCAAAATACATATAAAGTGACTTCTACGTATTTTCACACTGTTACTTATGTTACTTCAATAAAATACATAAATCTTCCTAATATTATATTTGGAAACTCATATTTTTATATAACACGGACAATAAATATTTGAAAAATATTTGTAAAAAAATCAATAATATTAACAATGAAATACGACTTCAATCGATATTACTATATTGCGTGAAGTATATTTTGTTTTGAATCCAATGAAAATTTCCATGGGAATATTGCATACTAATATTCCCGTGGAATATTGGTATATAACACGCAATATATGCAGCAGACTTTTGAGTGAAACACATATTCTACTAAATATCATTAAAATCCACTCATAAATATCGGGTTGGCACAAAAGTAATGAGACACTTGGTTTAAGTTTTTACTTTTTTATTATTATTACAATAAAAAAAGTTTAGTCAATGATGTAATTACCATTAGTATCTAAGACTTCTTGCCAACGATCCGGCAAAGTTTGGATGCCTTTTGCCCAGAACTCTGATGGCTGTGCCTCGAAAAAGTTGTTCAACTCCGCCTCTACGTCAGAGAAATCATTAAATTGTTTA